ACTTCCTGTGAGTCGTTTGTAATCATCCAGACATGGCCTGATTAACTGCACAATCGTTTGTGGAGCACCTGCTGTGTGCCAAGCAGCCCCAGTTGTGTGGCGGCGTTCACTCAGCCCCAGCCCATGGCGGGGGGGGGGCGGGCGGGGGGGGGCTGGGCCCAGCTCCCTAGGATTTACCCAGGTGGCTGATGAAGTCGTATTATGTCTGATGGGTGACACACGGTCCCTGTCCTCGAGAAACTCAGTACCTTATTAGGAAAACAAGGCTCTCACGTGAGGCAATTAGCGAATTTTCCAGGTCAGGACGAAATCAGGTGCTAAACTGAGAGAGAAAGCAAGCTTGGGCATGATAGAAGGGCTTTGAGGCTGTTAACAAACAATCTCTCCACAAAAAGCATCTTCCTGGAAACCATGCGAATGTCTCTGGTTATGGGATGTTAGTCCTCAACTGTTGCACTTAATGCCGTTTCTGACAGCGACTTGGCTCACTAGCAGTCAGGATGGTCATAGACTCTGTGTGGTGCGGGGGCAGCCCAGTGGAGGTGGGATGCAATCTCTGACCAGGGAAACCGCTTTCTCATTGGACAGAGGAACACTGTACATAGGCCAGTGATGGCGAACCTTTTGAGCTCGGCATGTCAGCATTTTGAAAAACCCTAACTTAACTCTGGCACCATGTCACATATAGAAATTTTTTGATATTTGCAACAATATTAAAACAAAGATTTATATTTTTGATATTTATTTTATATATTTAAATGCCATTTAACCAAGAAAAATCAACCAAAAAAATGAGTTCGCGTGTCATAGGTTCGCCATCACTGACATAGGACATTCTCCTCGCCTCCTGAATATGGGTGCAGGTAAAGGAGCCACAGTGACAGGTCCCTCCGGACTGTTTTCTCTGTTGTGAAACCTGCCCTGGCTCTGCTGACTGTGGGGCAGGAGAACTGTCCTCCCAGCTCTACGGTAGCTTGAGGGCATCAGACCTCTTCCCATGAGGCAGACCTCGTCTTGATCAGATCCATTCTGGTGCTTGTGACCAAGGGAACCGGTTGATTTTTCTCAGCTCTTACCTCCTGCCTTCTGGAACGCGTACCTGGATAAAACCCTGGAGCTTCCCGAGGAAGAGCAGAGCTCTCAGGTGCATACACCAGAGGCCTAAAGATGCATTTATTTCCTATGCCTCTGGGGCATTTCTTTCCGTGGTCATGTGCTGAGTGTGCCAGGGTATTGCTTATAGAAACACACGGGCACGCTTGTTTCCGTTGTCTTAAGTGCTTTGTTTCCCTCTCCTTCCACAGGAAGGTGGAGGATCTTCAGTTCCGAGTGGAAGAAGAATCAATTACTAAAGGCGACCTTGAGGTAAAACCCCTCCAGCTGTCTGAAGCATTTATGGGTCCCCATGTTCGGAAATGTGGACGAAATCATTGTGCCAGCTGATGTGGCCAGAACAGGCAGCGGGGGGGATGGCAGGAGCCCGGCCTCTGGCCAGCAGGGCCGTGGGCATGGCTGCGGGCGGTGATGGGCTGCCTCGGAGCCTGCGGCCGAGCCATCCCACCTCCTGTGGCCCAGGAAAGTTTTCACTACTCTTTCCTTGTGCTTTGAAATTCAAAAACCTCAAATTGGAGTTAATTGAGTCATAAATCTGGCAGTGTGTCCCAAGAGAGACTGTCCGTGTCCCTCTGATGACCAGAAACTGCATTCCTTGGGAGGAGCATTTTTTGCTTCATCCTAATAGTCCAAAACAGAGCCGTGCTGCTTCCACGGAGCAGGACAAACCTTTTATAACCCCGTGAAAGGGATAAATATATGTTCTAGTAGTTGAGCTTTTTACAAAAGTAATTACCAGAAAGAAACAAGAGCAATTTATATTTTAGCTTTTACTTCCATGGCATATTTTAAATTAATAGGGATTTTTCTTTACAATCAAGTTTCTCATCTCGTAACAATTATTCATATTAGTTTTTTCAAATAGACACCGGAGTTCAATGGTCTTGATGCTTTTCAAACCACTGCTAGATATATGACACGCATAAATTATTAAAATTTTCAAATTCTGCAGATTTTTGGTACTTTAATCTGTAATATTTTTGTAAAAACTGCACATTTCTGTGCAGCTCTCAAAATATACATTTATGCTACCGTTACAATTTTAGAGTCTTTTGATTGCCCATACCATGCTTACATTTCAAGGGACTTCCAAATAGGAACTCTGATTTCTTTGGAAATAAGTGTATCCTTATAGTTAACAAAAAGTAAGGAAAACATTTTCTGAATTTTAGTTTTATAAAGCCCAGGATTTAATGGATTATTAGTAATAATAAGTCTTCATTCATTTCATATATTGTACAATTACATTTCTTTAGTTTACTTTGTGTTATCCTCATCCACTTACAAACACCCTAAAAGTTTCATATCATCATCCAGTTCATTTGAAATATAGCCTATGGTGTTTGGGAGAAGGACAAATGAAAATATTTACATCAGCACTAGGCTAGTATATAGTCTGTCTGATAAACTTACTTGAAATTAATCAAAGTTATTTTGAAACCCTAACATTGAAACTTTAGTCGAATCTCTCTTTTGTTGTTGTTTAATTTTTTATTTTTTTACTGATAGCAAAAGAGCCAGATTTCTGAAGATCCTGAGAATGTAAGAGGGCACTTAACTGTGTGGATATTTTCCTTGTTAACACAGATTGATTACAGATTAAAATGCTTATTGATATACTCAAATACTAACTGCATAATCTGACCTTGAGACTTTGACCTTAATATTTCTGTGCATGTGGCTTTCAAAGCAGTTACATTTGTATCCTGAAGAAATTGTATGTTATGACTAAGTTCTATAAATCCATTTGTTTAATACATAGGCATGTGTTTACTTCATAAGAGATTTTGTCAGAAACAGGCAAAATTAATTTTGTCTGGGGGCCTGGCCTTAATTCATAATGTTTTTTAATTTTAATAGAATTATTCCAAAAGAGATGAAGCATAAAATATATTAGATGGAGTTATAGAAATTCTGGGGGAAGTTTTGCCAAATGTCTAATTTTATTTCCAGGAGAGCTAAAAGGGAATTGAGAATCTCAGACTGATTGCCTTGGGTGTGAGCACCCCTTGCTGGCTACTCCCTGTCCTTGCAGCTGACTAGAAATATAAACTTGGAATTCATCAGTGTGGTAGTTTTTGAACATATAGGCTAGAATTCTTCAGTGAAGAGACTGTTTTAAATTTATTATTTTCGAAGTGAGGTTTTTAGGGTAGCAGTGCTACTAGGCATGTAGATGTTTTCCTCCCTTTTTTTGCTTAAGATTAAACACCCAATTCAAATCTTAAGAAAGTGACCTCGAAAGCCAGGCTTCAGCTCTGATGCCAACCGAAAGATACCCAAAAACTTCTCACTGTGATTTACCACCACAAGAGAACAAAATTGAGCCAAACACTGTTTCTCCCCACCGCCTCCTGGCAGGTAGAATATGCAACTCAAGACTGAACTTTTACGACAGCCTCCGTTCTGAAGGTTCCCTTTTTGTGCAGCTACTTCAGTGATCTGGGTCTCCTCTCTCCTTCCCACATGGGCTCCCGCTGCGTCCAGTGTCAGTCTGCATGGGGTCTCCCTCCCGCCTCTCTGTGCGCTTCTTGCAGAGCCTCTGCTTGCCCTCTCCGCCTGTCCCAGGACTGCCCTCTGGGACACGTGTCTTCTGAGAAAGGAGTCAGTTAACAAGGAGGGTTGTCCTGTTGGGTGTAACGTTTTGACTGACTGTATACCATGGCATGGAAGTGGATCACTAGTCCCCATGCTGATGGCTGGTTAGAGGTGCAGTCCCAGGTCATCGGTGGGTACCCCGCCAGCAGGGAGGTCTCGCTGCAGTCACCCGGAAGGGGGCGAGGAGCATACTCAGTGGTCATGGGCTTTTTATCTTGAAGTCGTGACCTTTCCCCCCAGGACACTGAACTCGGTGTCCAGAGGAGAAAAAAGGTTTTGTTGCCTTTTGCTATTTGGGTTTCAGTGCTTGAGGCTGCGACCATGGTTATGTAGTCCTGGATCAGATTGTAGAAGCAGTAAACAGAATAACTTCTGTCTGAGACACGTCCGGACGCAGGGGACTATCCAGATAACTAGGTTTCCAGTGTTATTTTTGTTGAGTGTAAGAGCTGAAGGAGTTGAGATGGCTTTGTTTTGTTTTTAATTTTGTGTTCACTGTTTAAGCGTTCCATGGTGATTTATACCTGGATTGCAAGCAAAGGGAGCTCTTGAATGCATTGGCCTCTCCAGAGTTACAGTGTGCAGCATCCCACCCTCTATTAAGCTCTGCACTACTGTTTGCTTCTTTATTTAGAGTTTGTTGTTGTTTTCTCATTTCCCGTAATGGTTTAGACCAGGGGTGGGCAAACTTTTTGACTCGAGGGCCACAATGGGTTCTTAAACTGGACCGGGGGGCTGGAACAAAAGCATGGATGGAGTGTTTGTGTGAACTAATATAAATTCAAAGTAAACACCATTACATAAAAGGGTACGGTCTTTTATTTTTTTTAGTTTTATTCATTTCAAACGGGCCGGATCCGGCCCGTGGGCCGTAGTTTGCCCACGGCTGGTTTAGACCAATAGATCTGACCGGTTGGAACCACAAAATAGTTAAGTTACTGCAGTAACTAGAAGCTTCTGGGAACAGCTCTCTCAGTGGGTTTTGTCCGTTGGTTACACTGCACCTCTCAGGGAGAGAGGTGAGCGGGAAAGAGGTGCATTCAGACGGACATGAGGATTATTTGATGAGGTTGTGTTGTACTTAAACCTGCTAGAAAGAGGTCACCTCTGGCTTCTCCATCGGGTTCCGTATGAGTGAGGGAGGATGGAGACGCTCAGAGGTTTTGAAACACAGTAGGATCTCACTAGCTCCTCTTGCGTGGAGTCCAAACCCACACGTTTGTGTTGAGTCACCATTCCTTCCCTCTGAGATAAGAACTACGTCTAGGGATCAAGATAAAGAGTCCAGTTTTGGCTAAACTTTTCTCCTGCTCTGAGCCTCAGGGATGGAGGCTGTGGAGCATAACTGTTACTGGAATTTTCTTTTTGTAAATCTGATTTCCTTTTTTCTTTTTTCTTCTGGTGACAGCCTTTAGAAAAGCCACCGCTGGAAACAAATTAGAGCGTGAGTGGCTCTTTCCTGTCAGATGTGAGAATGTTGCCGAGAGTCTCATCAGAGGCCACCGGTGTGATTTCCTTAGC